CATTACAAAATTTCCTTGGTGATAAGAAATTGGCATCAAGAGAGGATTGCGAAAATCACTTAGTCAAGTTTTTCGCCAATAGGGACCAGGGCTTCTACAAGAGAGGAATTATGAAGTTACCTTTAAAATGGCAACAAATTATAAAACAAAACGGTGCATATTTGATCCAAGTTGAACAACCGGAACCATGTTAAATAAAGACTTGAAATGAACGTAAAAATAATGGATTTCTTTTTCCCCAACCTAAATATATTCGTTAACATAATTGTAATAATATGAACGTCTTTGCTTGTAGCATCCAAAAAAGTTATGTTAAAACAGAGTTCATTGCAGGTTGCAGAATGAATCCATATGGACAAAACCATTAATGATGAGAGATAACGGTGCTGGATGATTCCAGTTTGTTGAACAGGTAGATTACAAAAAGTATTGCACTGCAGATAGTTCTACAAATGATGACTAACAAAACAAGTGTCTTCAAAAAAATAGTGAGACTCAATTGTATTAAATAGAACCTTGTAATCTGAGATGGTGTAAATTATATACTTTGACAAAATTGTAATAATATGAACGTCTTTGCTCGTAGCATGCAAAACAGTTATGTTAAAACATAATCAAACTACATATTATACTGTGTATGAAGTCAGAAATGATTTCAATACTGTTAACTCATTTCAATAATAATGATTATTTCAAACAGATATGAAATATTATCTTTCATGATTGGACCTCAATCTGAAAAAATTGTATATCTAGAAATTCCCATTGTCATCTGTCTGTTTGTCCTTCCTTAATCTCGAGAACAGTTATCTAAATGAAAGTTGAGACTAGGTATGGAAAGCATTAGTACCTCAAGACCCACATTAACTATATATGAACTTCTGGTTTGGACCAAAAGTCACATTATTTCAATTCAAAAATTTAACAGGGAAAGTGTGATGTACAGGGGCAAGACATTACTAAAAATTGAGAAAATTGTGATGAAAAATTGCAGCCCAGCATTGTGATGATGTCACAATAAATAATTGGTTGTTTAATTTGGACATTTTTAGAAAAGTAGAAAATTTATGATGATATGAGCAATATATCAGTAAATAGTTTCAAAATTAAAACATTTAAAGTTGATTGCAGAGACACAGTTTACGTTAAATGACGTTTTACAGTAGAACAGCCTCTATACATCGGCTGTCAGAACCACAGTTTAAAATGTGTTTCAAAGATGACAATTGTCTATTTCTGAACATCATCTAAATGAACCTCGGTAGAATGTTGGCTATTACTTTCTTCACTGTTATTCCCCCCCTCTCAGGAGTCGTTTAACCAATCAGGTGAGTCATTTATGACATCAGAAAAATGGTGACAAACAATGTGTTCAAATCATGCTGGAATTTTTCTGAAGACGAAACACATGCCCTTGCAGAAATTATAAAAACATTATGCTGCAGTTCAGGAGAAAGGTTACAACAATCATATTCTGGGCATGAAAAAGCTGCATGGGAGATGATACAGAACAAATTTTCTTCATTGTTTCCTTGTTGGTCTGCTTGCAGCAAGACCTCATTCTCATTTATTAAACAAGACCTTATCCTTACTATAAAATGTCTCTATTACTTTAGAAAAACTTTTTAAATTTATTTAATGGTAGTTTGATAGATACCTGCATACAGTAGACGTGAACTCCAATAAGATCACCAGCTACTCTCTGAAAGCATCCGGTGGCATAAAATCGTAATGCTGCCAACAACTGTTGTTCAGTAGTTAATAGTTAATAGCAATTATCTTTTATCTAGATGCTTAATTTCTTCACTAATATGATTTAAAATATGAACAAATCCAAATTTAGAAAATGTATACCAAATTCAAAATTCTTCTTTCAAACCAATTTCTAAAGGATTATTCCAATCTCGTATTCTCTTTCTCTTTGTAATTGTCAAGATGAATAATTTTCTTGATTTGTCCCATTTACAATATTTATTAAATGAACAATATCCATTATAAACATAAACTTTGCAACCAATAAATATGACGACTTCTACTCAAGTAAAATGGTGTATAAACCTGCTATCAAAGGAGTCTATAAAGTAGGTCAAATAACTTGTTTCTAATGCAGTGTGTAGCGTCTTTGTAATCCAAAACGAGTTGGTAGACGAACGGACAGCAATTGGTTAGAAAACGTACGTTTTATTTAAAAATTCTTAATTCATATGCATTTCGGGTTGGCCTATATTCCCAACCCCTCTTCAGTGCTGTTAAAATTACACAAAAAAATTTTAGGTTAGTTTTACAATGTTGGCTAGTAGGAACATAATTAAAACGCGAGGTGATGATAACATAAAAATGCTTACTTGTCATATAATGGTACAGCATAGAAGTATTTTACAAAATTTTTCAAAATTTTAATTACAAGTAGTATGGTGTAGCCTATGATATATGATATGATATGATATGATATTCCCCTTATACCTTTTTTCATATCATAGGCTACACCATACTACTTGTAATTAAAATTTTGAAAAATTTTGTAAAATACTTCTATGCTTTACCATTATATGACAAGTAAGCATTTTTATGTTATCATCACCTCGCGTTTTAATTATGTTCCTACTAGCCAACATCGTAAAACTAACCTAAAATTTTTTTGTGTAATCTTAACAGCACTGAAGAGGGGTTGGGAATATAGGCCAACCCAAAATGCATATGAATTAAGAATTTTTAAATAAAACGTACGTTTTCTAACCAATTGCTGTCCGTTCGTCTACCAACTCGTTTTGGATTACAAAGACGCTACACACTGCATTTGATGATACAGCAACCACGTCCTCTACATTAAGAACTTGTTTCTAATTGCTGTCTAAACTGTGGCAAGCAAGAAATGTCATTTCTGCAATGAAGGTTTTCTGAACTACAGTCTACCCAATGTCTAAATTGCTGTCAGTATCTAAACGTTGTCTCTGCAATTGGCTATTAAGGTCTTAAAGGTCTTTTAGAAGACATTTGCATGAAATTAGTAGAACATTCACATTGAACAAATGACTCTCATGTGAATTGCCCAATGCCAATAAATATCATGTGTCATGTTATCTTACTTTATCCAGTACAATAAAGAACCATTCTTTTATCATCTGTTGACATATGACTAAAAGTGAATTCAGTATAAGAATCCATGAAGTCAACAAATTTGGGCATCTTTCTTATATTTTGTTCCACACATTTCAAGACTACAGGTAACCCCTGTATAACACGGCACTTCTATAGCACGGATTTACTCTAACACGGTTCGAGAATTGGTACCATCCCCCGTATAACAAGGTACTTTTATAGCAAGGATTCACTCTGACATGGTTCGAGAATTGGGTAAAACCCTCGTACAACAGGAAATGTAATAAATTTTTACATACTTAAGTAATAATAGTCACGAAAATTTTAATTTTTCTAAATTTAAAACTATGTAATATTTTGTTGTTAAATTTTACATTTTTCCAGTTTTTTAAATAAAAGTAGATATGAACAAGGAAATTGAACTTCCTTTTTAATTTAATCTACTTCCTAAAAGAGATGTCATCATTTTCCATGACAAACTTGTAGCAAAAAGACTCATTGTCAGATGAAAACTGTCCAAACTCCTCATTGGAGTAAATTTCTGAATATATAGATTTTGAATTCTGGATGGAATGGCTGAATTTGCCCTAATTTGAGGCGAATTCAGCCATTCCATCCAGTTCTCCCAAATTCTTGTTTGTGCCTAGTCTCCTCTGACTCCCCAACTTCCGCCTCTCGTAAGAATCAAGAAAGAAAGATCATTGATTATTTTAAGAAGTATTATATCAAACTTTGTGTAAACTCTCTCTCACTCTTGTGAAGATTAGAATAGTTAGAGGATAGACAACTTCTGAATTTTCTAAACTTTTGTATTTTATTTTAATTATTTTTATAATACATTTTAAATCGTGAGGCAAGATGTGATTAAATTAACTGTCTTGCCTGGTGTCAGTAAAAAAGACTAGGTAGATCATAATACTTCTGGTCACTTTAAAATTTTTATCGTTCCCATCCAATGACAAATGTGAGCTGGCTCACCACCCTCTTGTCGGAAAGTGGGCGTAGAATAAAATATTCTTGGGCCCAACTTCTCACGCTATAACTATAATAAATGTAAGGTCTTGCTTCATATACTGTGGACAGCTTGTTGAATTGCTTCTTTTTTAAGCTGCTGCTGCAATGTAGCCTATCTACAGTATTATTGGTGAAATCTGTTTATATCAGCTTGAACACATTCATGAGACATTGAAAGAGAAGAAAGATGCAGTTCTGTCAGCATCAAAATAGTACTTAATTCAGGATAACAAATTACATACTTCTCAAGTTTTCATTGAAGTCTTGCAATGGATATATTCCAAATTATTTGTAACATTCATACATTAACATCATCAATACAACATCATACATTTTGAATAAACTAAAACAAATGTGTTACTTTTCAATTATCAATCTCTAACACTGGTAAAACATACGTAATATAAAAAAAACACACTGCAGTAAATAGTTTTAATCAATAATGGACAATACTTGAACATCAAGTCAGACAGGTATTAGTGTATTGGACAAACCATTTTTAGTTATGCTACTTAAAATAAATATAATTTTTCATGTAATTTTTAAAGCAGTGGAATATTGTTCTTTTTATTTATTTTAAATCAGATTTATGGTTCATAAATTTTATATTATTTATAAATTTATTTTGTATTGTAAATAATATATGCAATATTTACAGTACATTAACACAGACAAGAATAATGTAAATTATATTCTCAGCATGATACTCTGATGTTACCATTTAAATTTGTTCTAAACTACTATCACTTTATTTGATTAATGAATGAACATAAATATTTTAATTATTCTTTAATTCTTAGCAAACTATATTTGATTTCATTATAAATTGAAATTTTTAAATTTAAAGAATCTCTTTGAATTATTGAATTTTGTTTTTTCAATGACAGTTTAATCCTGGGATTTGTTGCAAGACGAAAAGCTGAAGAAATGTTGCTCAAACGATGTAATGGAACATTTTTATTAAGATTCAGTGATTCTGAACTTGGTGGAGTAACTATTGCATGGGTTACAGAGGCTCAGCCACAGTCAGGTAAAGTATCATTATAAATCATCACTTTTTATAAAAATTATAACTATATAAGTTTTATTCAGAAATTTTTTAACAATAATATAAATTATATTGTTTGTAAAATATAACATCCTTTTTCTCTACTAAAATTCACAAACACACATTTATATATGCATTTCTACAAACATACTTTATATGTGTGTTTACATACATGGTAGGATCCAAAAGAATCCAGACTATACATAGTATTTTGCATTACTGCCAAAATACGTCTTTTTGTCACCAAGAAACCGCTTTAGATATTTGAGCATCAGTCTCTCAAGTGATGATGTGCTGCAGTTTGAGAAAGAACTTGAAATTTGTGTAATGAGCATATGTTCAATTTTCATTAAAGTTGGGAAATTTGTCAAGAACTCTTGAAATGCATCTGGGAGGCCTATGGCAACTAAAAAATGGGTGAAACCATAATCTTTCAGTCTTTCAGATACAAGAAGTTAGGCAAGTCAGGAGCTTGACAGAGTGTATATTTTTTCTGACCATAAGAGTATTGTTTGCCAGTAATCTGTTCCTTCCAGTCAGGCAGTGAATATGATTTTTGTGAAATTTTGAGGGAATTGCGTGAAGTTATTTGTCATGAATGACCAGAACTGTTTCTATATCTTTTCAAATGCATATGTTATTGGTGAAAAACATTGACAGTCTTCCCTGTCCTCATCACTCACTAGATTTAACACTCCCCATGACTTCTTTTTGTTCCCAGAATAAAATTGATGCTCGGAGTTTAGGTACAGACAAAATTTAAAATTTTATTACTTTTAAAGTTTCTGCTGTAACATGCTGTAAATTGTAAAGTAACTAAAGAAATTAACTTTAATTTCAGATATTCAAGAAGTGTTCATGTTACAACCATTTACTGGCAGAGATTTTGCAATTAGGAGTTTGGCTGATAGAATATATGATTTAAAAACTTTGTTGCATTTATATCCAGATATTCCAAAAGATCAGTGTTTTGGAAAATACTATACACCTATTTCAGGTAAGATTTATAAAATATATATCATTTTAAAATAACATACAGAGCACTCTTGCTTATCTAAACATGGGATTGTTTATAATACCACACATTCTGTTATTCAGCAGTGTGCTGTGCTGAGCAGTTGCTGCCAGAAATGACGTTTTTGCTGCTAACAGTTGAAAACACTTTTGTTGGATAAAGAGCTATCTCAAAATGGCTGATATAAACAATTATTTTCTTTCTGCTATATTTACCTGCATATTAGAAGAAAAGCCATTAAGTTTGATGTTATTTATAAGAAAACGAGGAAATGATGATTTACTTATGGCATAGGCAATGACTGATTCTCAACAACGAAAAAGCATGCAAAAATCATTGGTTATGTTCACAATATTGTACCGCAGTATTTGAATGAAATCCTTAAAAGCCATTTTCATATGTCATGATTAAAATCTGTTCATTTAAAACAGCAAAAAACTGATTATTATTATTTGGTAGTCGAGAAAGATATTTTCTCATGGAGTTGTCCATCTTGTAAGCACTATTTTTAGCGTGGTCAAGAGGTGCTTCTAGTGCGCTGAAAGTGCACCTTAAGCACGCTGACAGTAGGCTTAATAATTGAACGCATGCGCTAAAAGCACTGCAAGCATAAATAAAAATAATTCAAGCACTGAATAAAATAATGTGTGGATAGTTATTAAAAAAATAGATTGTAGACAAATGCTAGAGTGGATTCAGAAACAAATCTTGGAGAGATTTTTTAATTCATATATTAACATATACAATATCAGTTATGTTACAATTATTAATATTAAAAAGCTGGATCCTTTTCATTCTATGGCTGAATGAATACATATATAGCAAACATTTTTATTTTGCACTTGTTATACAGTACAGCATCGATTATCCGACTCAATTGGGGACTCAGGTTGGTCAGATAACTGAAAAAATCGGATAACCGAAAAAAATACATTATTAGTATAGTAAATTAGTATATCCCATGTTATTAGTATATTAGTATATCGCTATTAACCAACTTTGTGTTGAATTTTCATCGATCTTAAGCTTAACAATTTTTTTTTTAAATAATAATTGTCGCTATTTTATCATTTAAAAATCATTTTTAAATTTTTATTTTATTGCTCACAAAACAAAGAACCGCTCATAATTAGAAAATTAAGTCTCGTTTAAATACTGGCCTCCCTTTCATGGTCGAGCCAGTGTTGCCAGCTAAAACACGCAAAAATTTAACAAAAATAATATTAAAGTAGCCAAGACATAGCCAAATATTGTAGCGCCACATCACTAGCGGACATTTGAAATTTGCCAACTAGAACGGTCGATTAACCGATGCTCTACTGTATATATTAAAATGTATAATATATATGAATTTTACAATTTATTAGGTTTTGAAAAATAATAATTTGTGGTTAGTTTTTGCTTTTAGATAGAACATTTAGTGGAAAATTGAACAAAATTGTTTTAGAGTAAATGGAGCTTGAATTACTAAGAGTAGGCTACATTGTATTTATCTGTTCTTTTAACAAAATTTTAGAATTAAATATACAGATGTATAGTTGATAAATTAAAATCAGTTATTACTAAGGAAAATAATAAACTAGGTATTTTCTAGATAAACAAAACTGACCTTTCGCATAGGTTTTTCTGTTTTGGCTTCATTTGAAAACACTTGATGACATGCTTTGAATATTTTGTCCAAAGCAGTGTCAAAACATGCAGGTTGCAGAGAGAGTGTGCATGTGTAATGTTATAACTGACAAAATGTCAAGAAACATTTAAAACATCTACATATGTAGCCATTGGCTTACCAACTGTAGCAACTGGGTAAAACATATGTATGTGCAGCCAGAGTCCATGCTTGTTAAATACCCATTATAAAGATGAAAATAAAAAAATTGTCATAAGAGATGAATGTAAATTGACAGCCATGAGAAACTTTATTGACATCAAGCATGCAATCAACTTAAGCACGATTTACACTGGATGCAAAGGGTGCAAAACATATGAAAATAAGAGAGGTAATGAAGAATTGTGAGCATATGTAACCTCTCAAAGAGAGTTAAAAATATTTTTATGTCAGTTAATTGGAGTACATGACAGCTGTGGCACATTGGAGCCAATGAAGACAATGTTTAACACTCAACTAGAGTCTCGACTCACAACAGAGAAAAAAAATTGTATTAAAAATAATACTGGTATATAATTTAATTCCTATAAGTCTAAACAACACAGCAAACAAAAAGAACATTAACATAACTTCAATATATATCAAATTTTTTAAAACACCATCTATTGGTAAAGTGTGAAACTACAACTGGCACCCATGCTTTCCACTACTTGCAATGTGAATGAAATTTGCTTCACTCACCTCACTTGCTCTCTTTACTCTGTTCACTTTCTCGCCCATTGCGTCCAATGTAAATTGTGCTTTACAACAGACCATAAACTTTATATGGTAAACTTTGACATCTCAGTCCATAAATTGAATTTCAAAATGTCAGCTTCATCATTACATCAACCTGTTGAACATAATTGCAAAAAGTTATTTTTAGTGGTCATGCAGTTACTTAAACTTCAATCACCAACAAAACACTTTGACTTATGCAGAGTTCTGCTCAATTATTGTTTCTTATTTAATACCAATGTATTTCTAATAGTCTCTAATTATCATCAAATAAAATAAATAGATCTACCAATTAGTGGTACAGTCAGCCCACTATAACACCGTTGATAATTTCATTTTATATGATTTCTATGTTGTACGAGTCACTTAGATTTTACAAATACGTGTGCCAAGTTGTGAACGGCTGACGTATTTGTAAAATCTAAGTGACTCATACAACATGGAATTCATATAAAACAGACTTATCAAGTGTTATTGGGAGTCGACTGTATTTATTTGAAAAACAAATATGAGTATTTTGACTGATCATCGTGAAGTTCTAAATACAGTTCTAATAAAAATTACAACTCAGAAAGAGTGAAATTTAAAATCAAACATGTATGACACATAAAAAGAAGCATTTTAAAAATTAACTGATAAATTAACAAATATACACAACAATTATTAGTAATTATATATTTCTTTTTTTATGCATTATTATGATATAAAGTACTAAAATACTGATTGTAAACTTATCTATTAACTTTGGTCAGATATCTTAAGTTTTATAGTTATTAGTTAATGTACACATGTTGTTTTATTAAATTATATAAGGAATTATTAGTTAATTTTAAATATTTATCACTGATATGAAATGTTTAAAAAATTTTCAGAAAACCAAGCATCAACTAACAATGGTTATGTAAAGCCGGTTCTTGTAACACAAATACCTGGGTGAGTTCTTATATTTGATATATTTCTATATAATGAATTACCAAAACACTGTTATTTATCAATTTGTTGATATAAGATAAATACTGCTTTCTTCTTTATAAAAAAAAACTATCATATTTTAATCTCTGTTTGAGAGAGAACTCTGAAATTTCATGTAGTCCTGATATCTAAGGAGTGTTCTCAGGTTTCTTTCAAAGCAACCTCAAATTTTGTTTTCTATTGTTCTTAAGTGGTATGTCATATACTCCTGCTTTAGCTAGCTTTTTGAATGGCAACTTATCATTTCTTAATAAATTAAAATAATTCTCCTTGTAGGCAAAAGTTATTTCTAAGGAATTTTTCAAAAAATCTTAAGTAAATTAAATTAGCTTAGTAGTAGAAACTTGCTCTTTTAATGTCTACAGGAATTTTCCTACTATTTTCATTTCTGTTTTAGTTGTATATCATTCAAGTTTTAATATTCTCTATTGGTTTCATTGAAAGCTTATTTTATTGGGTTAATTTCTTAATACAGATAATTCTTTTATATAATGCGCATAAGCTCTTTTGTTCTCAAGGATGTAAAAGGTTTTCTAATGGAAAAATATTTCTTTCAATAAACTGAAAACACAGTAGAGCATTGATTATAGGAATCAATTGGGGACTGGGGTTGTTTGGAAAATCAATTTTTAAGATAACCGATTATCTACAAAAAAATATATTAACCTATCCCATGTTGAAATTCATTCAAATCCTGGCACATCCTTCAGTGTACCCTCTCATGGTCACGCCATTGCTGCCAGCTAAAACATGCACACCAACAAAAATAATATTGGAGTAGCCCAAGACAGCCAAAGATTGCAGTGCCACAGCACTAGTAGAAGTTTAAATTTGCCGACTGGAAAGCTTTTGGTTAATTGATGTTTCAGTTGCTTGATATTCGGATAATCGATGCTCTACTGTATAGTGATTTTAATCTTGATTCTTGTATAATGAAATTTGTATACTATCTCTTTTCAAATTTATTTTTTATATTAAAAAGGCATATATTTTACCTTTTTGTACTAATTTTAAAGTTAGTGTACTATCATTATTATCTATTTCTTTTGAAAATTTTATAAATATAAAATATTTATTTCTTTTGAAAATTTATAAATTTTAAGATACATTTCTTTTGAAAATTTTATATATCTTCTCATTTTTGCAAATAGTTAAATATAATTAGTATGATAAAGAGCATCTATAGGTAAAAGTCAGAGTTTATTGTTAAATAAAATTTAATAAAGCAGTAATAAAGAAATAAATACTTTATTACTTTATTGTTACAACTTATTTTTCATTCTAATTTTTGAAAATAATAGTCGTTTGAAAAGAATTTCGTGTAAAAATTTGAGGTAACTTTTATTTTATTAGATTCTAAATAGAAAATAATTATAAATTGTACTGCATAAATTCTTTATGTTATAGATGGCAGTTTATGAATGATAGTAGTTATCCATCTACTCCCCAATCATTGATGCATCCACAATCACCTGATCCTGCATATCAAGATGGTGCTTCTGTTAATAGCTGTGCTGATCATGCTATGAAGTAAGTTTTCTTCTGGATAAAATACTACCAAATTGTGGTTGATTATAACAGTGACTAGTCAGTGATGGCAATTGGTATGCCCTTATTTTACTTCTGGCAAAATACTTGTATAAATTTGGGACCACCAAATTTTGTGAAGTTAGATTGTGGTCAGTCACATTTTTGCACAAAAGTATTTTTTCATAAATGTTTCATTAGCTACTTCAATTCATTTTTATATCATAAATGACACAATACATGCATCACATCACCTATTGTGCCTTGTTTGTGGAATTAGTTAACATTATATATTTGCATTTATTAAAAAAATACTATAAAATAAATTTATTATTTATCTTTTAAAATATCAGTAAAAATGATATCTCAAAAAAATATTGTGATTATGTTTATCTCATCATCACTATGTGAAAATTAACATTTTAAATATGAGTAGAAGAAACAGGCGTGTCTGTGTGTGTGTGTGTGTATATATCTGATAAATTAACAAATATACACAACAATTATTAGTAATTATATATTTCTTTTTTTATGCATTATTATGATATAAAGTACTAAAATACTGATTGTAAACTTATCTATTAACTTTGGTCAGATATCTTAAGTTTTATAGTTATTAGTTAATGTACACATGTTGTTTTATTAAATTATATAAGGAATTATTAGTTAATTTTAAATATTTATCACTGATATGAAATGTTTAAAAAATTTTCAGAAAACCAAGCATCAACTAACAATGGTTATGTAAAGCCGGTTCTTGTAACACAAATACCTGGGTGAGTTCTTATATTTGATATATTTCTATATAATGAATTACCAAAACACTGTTATTTATCAATTTGTTGATATAAGATAAATACTGCTTTCTTCTTTATAAAAAAAAACTATCATATTTTAATCTCTGTTTGAGAGAGAACTCTGAAATTTCATGTAGTCCTGATATCTAAGGAGTGTTCTCAGGTTTCTTTCAAAGCAACCTCAAATTTTGTTTTCTATTGTTCTTAAGTGGTATGTCATATACTCCTGCTTTAGCTAGCTTTTTGAATGGCAACTTATCATTTCTTAATAAATTAAAATAATTCTCCTTGTAGGCAAAAGTTATTTCTAAGGAATTTTTCAAAAAATCTTAAGTAAATTAAATTAGCTTAGTAGTAGAAACTTGCTCTTTTAATGTCTACAGGAATTTTCCTACTATTTTCATTTCTGTTTTAGTTGTATATCATTCAAGTTTTAATATTCTCTATTGGTTTCATTGAAAGCTTATTTTATTGGGTTAATTTCTTAATACAGATAATTCTTTTATATAATGCACATAAGCTCTTTTGTTCTCAAGGATGTAAAAGGTTTTCTAATGGAAAAATATTTCTTTCAATAAACTGAAAACACAGTAGAGCATTGATTATAGGAATCAATTGGGGACTGGGGTTGTTTGGAAAATCAATTTTTAAGATAACCGATTATCTACAAAAAAATATATTAACCTATCCCATGTTGAAATTCATTCAAATCCTGGCACATCCTTCAGTGTACCCTCTCATGGTCACGCCATTGCTGCCAGCTAAAACATGCACACCAACAAAAATAATATTGGAGTAGCCCAAGACNATGTTTCCAGCTAAAACATGCAAAAATTTAACAAAAATAATAATAAAGTAGCCAAGACATATCCAAATATTGTGCCACATCACTAGCGGACATTTGAAATTTGCCAACTAGAACAATCGGTTAACCGATGTGACGGTTAATCGGGGGTCGGATAATCGATGCTCTACTGTACTCTTTTCCTTTATCAATACACTGCTTCCAGAATTTCTGCCATTTCTTGATGCGTATCTGCTAAGTGTTTTTCAGAATAGATCATAGGTGCTCCTTCAAATTTTCTTTATCTTCAATCATCTGAAATATGTTCTTTCAACATGGATTTCAGCATGGTCAATAGGAAAAATTCTGCAGGAGTGAGATCAGGTCAGTAGGATGAACAGGGAAATGCATATATTTCTATTTTAACTAAAGTCAAGAATCAGCAGAGACAAATGTCCAGGTATGTTGCCATGTATTCATGAGTGTTTTTCCAGAGTTTAGACCTTTTCTTTTTCAAACTTACACTTTAGCACATTATCACTTCCAGATAATAGTTCCAATTCAGTATTTGTATATCTGGTAAGAATTTGAGATGCACAATGCCTTCAATGTAAAAAACTGTCAGCGTGACTTTCATCTTTAACTTGACCTGTCACCCTTTCTTCAGCTATGATGACAGCCATTTCATTTCTAAGTCATATCTGTACACCCAAGTTTCCCACCAGTAATGATTCTTTTTATGAAGATTTCATTCATTTTAGTGCAATCCAAAAAATCCTGACAGATGTCAACCCAAATCCCTCTTTGATTTTGTGTCAAGATTTGTGCACAAACTTTGCACTGACATGATGCATCTGCAATTTTTTTTAAGAATGCTGTGGTATGATCCTATTGAGATGTACTCTTCACTGATTTTCTGAACTGTCAAAGATTACAACACACAAGTTTGTGAACTTCAATGCAACATGAGTGCTGTCAGATATGACAATGGTCATCCCCCTGCATTATTTTACCCATGTCTTTGCGCACACAATCTATTAATATAAAAGTGTTAATGGAAATACAACAGTTGACTTAAGTGTTTGTATTTATATTTATTACCGTAAATAATTGGACTATAACTCTGATAATTTAATGATTAATACTAACTTATTTGCTATTAGAGGTAGACATTAGGTTCGTCCTCAGCTAGGGCTGTGAATAATTTGACACTCGTACTAGGCATCAGGCACATCTCTTATTAAATTTAATAATTACAATTTAAATAATTTAGAAAATTCTGGAAGAAAAGGAATGGAGTGGGGCTTGAATTTACAAATGCCACTTACCGTATGGATGCATTGCCAGATTAAATGTATGAATCATAGCATTTTTATAACTTTTCTCTACGTAACTGAAAACCAGTATGTGACAAGTCCGCAACAAAAATTATCTTGAGAATTATATAGAAAATTAATCCAGCACTACTGGAGTTGATAAAACATTGATTGGAGCTAATTTATCAAATTACTTTGCCTGAATATAACAAACAATACTAATGACAATATTGCATTAAAAACTTCCAAACAAATAGCTTATATAATCATTGCAAATTCAGCACATGATGTGGACAGGATATAAAGTAGAAAAAGTAATGAATGTCCATTGTCTCTGATACAAATTTCTGGTCTTAATAAGCATCTCTTTCAGAATGTTTAAAAATTATCAGAATGTAGATTTTCAGATTTCTCAAAATTGTAAGTTTTGTAAATATATTCAAACAAACTATAATTAATAAGTTTTTTGTTTTAATTGCACACTTTCTTCCAATTAAATTTCAGATATTATAAATATAAAAGTGTAAAATTAAAATGTGAAAAGATTAGAAATCTTTAGAATTAAAAAATCCAGAAATCATTCAAAATGACATATTAGTTACTATATTAATAGTAACTAATATGTCATTTTGATGATTTGTGTACAATTTGTTTTATAAATAATGTTCTAATTATAATTTTTATCATCAAGTTGACTGTGTCTGATAAAAACATAACACACTATAAAATGGAAAGCTACCAAAATGGAAAATTCTGGCTTGTGCTGCCACATTTTGTTTTAGTCTGGTTCTACTGTATTTGGATATTTTACAAAATAAATGCTGTTAGTTGACTTAAAAACAGCATTTAAAGTTTTGTAATAATGTAGTACTTAAATTTATTTATTTAATATATTTATACTAGAAAATGAAAGTAAGTTTTAAGTATGTTTAAAACATCAGTGAATGTATATTTTGCACTTTATTATATCTGAAACAATAATTACAAAATGTAATATAAAATAAGAAACTTATTTTGAAAATTTAAAAATTCTTTAAAGGAATTATTTAATTTATTATATAAAAAAAAACTGAAGATACTTCTTAAAATTTATAATACTAAACATTAGAAATTGTTTGAATGTATTTCTAAATATGACAGAAATTTGAATTCGATTTTGAGCTTCATATTATGTTTTAATTTCTTTGAATATGTTTAAATATACATATACAGGGTGAGTCATAAGTCTTTATACAAATGATGAAAGCGGTGCCTAATGTTTATTTTATTCATACAAATGGTATCGTATGATGCTACAGTTACAAGACATATTTCTTCCCTTCCGTGTCAACACAGAATGACAATCACTCTAACCAATTTTGGCAAACATGTGACAATGTTTCTTCTATTATTTGTTGGCAAGCTAATGCAATTCTTTTAAGATGGTCCACATTACAGATTTTTTGCTGGTGCATAATTGATTTTAGTTGGTCCCAAAGATAAAAGTTCATTAGACTGAGGTCTGGTGACCTGGGTGGCCACTCCACTGGACCACAACAACTGATCCAATGTCCAGAAAACTGCTGATCCAGCCATTGGCACACTTTGATGCTGTAATGTAGTGGTGCTTCTTGCTGGAAGAACGCAGGGACGTTCCCACTTTCTTGATAAGTTTTGCCACAGTGTCATGGGTTATCTGCATGCTGTACATTGCATTGAAAGTATGTGCTACATGACAGGCGATACCACTCCCAGCCAACAGAATAATGTCAATCCGTTCTATCTTTGTTAGTGGCATTTCTTTTCAATTGGTTCACCTTCCTGAAAATGTAAAAGAAATTAGTCACCGCTTTCACTATTTGTATGGCTCACTCTGTATATATGATTATACAATTGTTAAATAAGAATAGCATTTTTATTATATTTATATTAAGTGTAGATTAAATTGATTTAATTAGAAGATTTTTTTGTGTTGCTAATTTTATTTGCAAAGACAAGAAATGAGTTAGTGATCAGTTTGGTTTAATTGGTTATTTCTAAACAAATAGTTTTTTAAAATATGTTTTTTAAAATAGCTGCTTATAAAGTCTTAACAAAGGAATCAAGGAAAGAATAGCCTGAAGTTGTGAGCCAAAGAATTTCAAAATTTTTGCTAGAATTTGGTAAATATGGGAAAATTTGAATTTTAGTTTTGAAGAAAGTTATCACATACATAATATATTAAAATATTTGAGTTTGGCCTCAAAATGGGAAAAATTACTGAAACGTCAGTTGCCAGGTAGTAAAATTTGGGAAACATATTTTTAAAACACAGAAGCATTTATAAGTGCAATTATATATTGAGAATATTTTAATTATTCTCTCTTATTAAGTGATAAAAATCAACATAGATTTTATATACATTTGTCTCTCTTAAAATAAATATATTAAATGATTTTTTAATATATGTAATTTATCTTTATTATACATAGATTATAGTAAATACTAATATGTATATATATAAACTGATTTTTTTTTATTAATTAATATTTTAATGACAAATTTTCAATGTCTCATGTTTTTAATTTGCAAATATTGTCAGCTGAAATTAAGAAACCAAAAAGGTACCTT